GAATGAGAGGGCGCGACCAAGTGCAAGCAACCACGCAAGCAACCGCACAACCACAAAACGATGACGGGCAGTGCTATGCGATGCGATGCGATGCGTGCCACTGATAACGGTGACGGTGATGGTGTCGCTAGCGGTGGCTGCTGGCTAGAGGTGAGCAAGGAGCAAGGAGCAAGGAGAGAACTGAGCATGGGGTAAAATATAGAGAGCCACCCGATGCCTGGAGCTGGAGCTGGAGCTGGACCCAGTCATAAACTGCAGGCAAAAGCAGAGCCAACAAAAAACTACATACTGGCATGAATAGCGGCATTAAAGTATCAGCCAACAAAAGAGAAAGACACACACACATATAGAAAGAGACGGCGGCGATGAAGCGGCGGGGTGAATGAAAGAAGGCACAACAAATTGCAGACTGCATACAAAACACAAGCCCTGAAAGGAGTAAAAGAGGAGCAGAAAGCAGAAGCCGCAGCAAGAGGAGGAGAAGGAGAAGGAGAAGGAGGAGAAGGCGCCCCCATAAAGCAGCTTAGCTGCTCCCCTGGCCAGGATTCGCATCCTTCAGAGCTCCATCTCCGGCTCCACCCTCTGCTCTCCTTTCTTTACATTACTTAAGCTTGAATGTATATGAATTTGATAAGGTCTTTGTCTCCCCACAAAACGCTCTAGTTCGGGCCGGTGCTGTCTGCTGTCTGCTGTCCGCTGTCCGTTGTCCGTTGCCAAGGCAAATTGCTTTGAGTTATTTAAGAGAAAATACGGAGAATTGTTAAGGCCAGGCACGTCGTTGATTGTGGGTCGAGCAGTGCGAACAGACAGAAGTACCAGCAGGAGCTGGAGCAGGAACAGGGAGACGTCTCGACCCCGAGCTGAAATTGTTTTGAAATGATTTCAAAAAAGCATTTCAGTTTAAGCCAACAATATTCCGTTACGCATGTGTGTTTGTGTGCGTTCGTATCTGTGTGTCTGTCCAGGAATTGATGAATACGCAGCAGAAGAGAAAACGAAAAAGCAGTGGAAGCAGTGGAAGCAGTGGAAGCGGCAATAGAGAGTGCTATTCAAGTCGTAATCTGAGGAGCTCGACGAAGGAAACCGCACAATTTGTGGATTATCCCTCAGAGCTTGGGGTCTATCCGAGCTGTTGCTGCTGAGTTTGGTAATAATTGAAAGCAATTGAATGGGAACGGCATAGGGACTGGTATCTGAGAAAGGGAATCAATTGATATTGAAGATGGGACTGCTACCGGCCCCATCCTGGTCTGCATTCGATTTCCAGGATGATTCCTTTCTAATTGTGAGCAATTTGTGTCTCTCTACTGTTCGCTTGGAAAACCGAAGCCAAAAGGAAAATAGCTAAAATGATAGGGAAATTTATGGTGGCACCAAATCAAAATGCTTAACTGCCATCATTAGTTGGATGACGGACAGTGCACCTCCCGACAGTCGATGGCTGTGGGGCGGATGGTCTGCCCCTGCTCATATGCAAATTGGTTGGAGGGCAGCTGCTAACTGCTGTCTGGGCCGTGCCAGCGTTGTGTAAGCTGATTTCGGCCAAAAAAGGCCATTTCAGAAGCCAGAACGAAAGGCGAAAAACGAAAAACGAAACAGACGACGAAAAGAAAACGGTTCAATTAAGCCAATATTTGCGCACACTCGCGCCTTCTGTCGACTGGTTAGTTTTGGCAAGAGCTGGTGGATGGCACCTCCCTCCGCACTCCACTTCTGCCACTTCTGCTACTTCTGCTGCTTCTGCTGCCTCTGCTGCTGGTGCGCTGCTAAGCGATGGCACATTTTTCGAAGCATACTTTGCGGCTGCTTTGCCCACGGCCAGAACACAGGTCCCTGCTCGAGTGTTTGTGTATCTGTCTCCTTGTCTTTCACTGAGTGAGTGTGTGTATGTGCCTCTCTGTGCGTATTAGCGTATTTGTGTGTGTCTATATATGTGTATGGCTGGCTGTGTGGTTGGGATTTGTGTTTCTGTTTCAGTTTCAGTTTCGGTTTCGGCGTACTCTTTCGTTGGCCGGGACCAGAACTGAGAGGGGGCTGAGAGTGGGTCCGGGACTGGGACTGGGACTGGGACAAGAATGCTTTACTGGGTGACTCACCTGAACAGTGCCAATGGCCAGGACGACCACGGCGACGGCCCAGAGGCTCCGCAGCCACAAATTGCGTTGACGCAGAGCGGCGCACATTGTTCGCACTCTTTTCGGCCTTTGGCTCAACTCTGCTCGGCTCTGCTGTGCTGTGCTGTGCTGTGCGGCTGTGTCGCCTTCTTTTGGTCTTTGTCTTTGTCGAACTGCTCCTCCTTCTCCAAGGGAATCCGGCTCCTCTGGCTGCAGATGCGGCTGTCTCTGAACGGATGTCTCGGGCTGCTCGGGTTAATTGTACGAGTATTTGCTTTGGTGGCTTATTCGTTTAACACTATGCTGCAACTGCAGACCGATGACGAGGCAACGAGGCAACAGCGGCGGCAACAACAAGAAATCAAAAAAAAAACAACAACAGAAAAATTCATTAGCAAGCGAACGAATGAACAAAAAACCTTAACTTCTTTGTATCTTTCTTTTTGTATAGCTCTTTTCTTGTGGGTTCTTTCTTTTGTCCCCTGTTTCGTGTGCTTTTCGTTTCGTTTCGTTTCGTTTTTCGTTACGATTTGGCTCGGTCTCTGATTTCGATTTGTGGCGCTTAAGTTGTTTCACTGCTTGTGTCTCTGATTGCGTTTTCCTCCGCGTTGGCTTTCCTTTTGCGCTGCCCCAAAAGCTATGCAACGGAAAACGTCAACTGTGGAATCCGACTGCTCGTGTATGTGTCTACGTGTGTGTTTCGTCGTAGTATTTGATTGTAGAACGTAGTAGATGGAAACGCAGAGAGAGAGAATAATACTGATGGAGAGGAAGAGGGAGAGAGCAAGTGAGTGCGCTAGGGCTCTCGCCTCTCCACTGCCATTGTATGTTCTGTTCTTGCGTGTGTGTGTGTGTGTGTGTCCCGTACTCGTTGGTTGTCTTGCGGCTGGGATTTTTTTAAAGAATCCCTGTAAATTGCATCGTACATCACCCACAAACTCAATGAGTGGCATCTATAACTACACAATTCCATTTTTTCACCCATTTAAAAATGTATCAAGTTATATAATTTCCGCCACAACCCCCCACCATTCTGTAATGGAGTCTCTCATGCTTCTCTGCCCCCAGCTCTTCGAAAATATCAGCTGCAACCTGGCTCTGGTTTTGGCTAGCTCCATGTCGTATCGTTCGAATCGTTTCGTGTCTTTTCGTTTCATTCCGTTCCGTTACTTGGGCCAGCAGCTCCCACGCAAGACCGCAAATATTCACTCCCCCCTGCAACAGCCCTCGTCCACATGGGGGTTCTGCGCACGCACTTTCTCTCTCTCTCTCTCTCTCTTTCTTTTGAACTCTTCCACGCTCCCATCAGTCCTGCGCAGTGGGGACAATTCTCTCGGATTCAGCAGCAAAAGGAAAATTGGTTTATGCTTTTTTTCTCTGTCAAATTGGCACAACAAATCGAACTCGATATAAGTTTTCTTTTTCGTTTCTTCGGTTTTTGTGAGAATTTTGTTATCACTCAGTTTCTCTGTTTATCTGCTCTTTTATTCTCTTCGCTTTGCACTCGCACTTTAACAACAACTTTATGAACAGCAAAAAAAAAGGATACAACAATTCTTTAGTTCCGACACAACAAGAACAACAACAAAACAGTTTGGTGGTAATTGAATTCTTCTCTTGTCTCTGTCTCTCTTTCTCCCTCTCGTTTCTCTCTCTTTCTCCCTCTCTCTGGGTAAGTGTTTGAGTGTCTTTCTCTCTCTCTCGGTAGCTCTCCGAGCCAGGCTGGTGAGAGCGGGAGCTTGGGAGCTGTGGACTGAGATTCTCAGTCCCAGTCTCAGTTCCAATCCCAGTTGATGGCTTGGAGAGCTGGAGCTGTAAGTACCTTGCGCTGCGAACGCTCACAAACGACTGCGAGTGGCACCGACCACATGAGCAACTCGTCGCCTTCAGTGGGCGCCCAGTGGCTTCTGCTCCTTCGAACTCGATTCGACTCGTTGGCGCTGGGGCGCACGGCGCGTGCCCAGGATCGATATTAAGCGCGAAACTGGCACGGGGGTGGAATTGGGAATTGGCCTGTGCAATGTAACCTCGTGGATGTAACACCAGCCAGCGAGCGAAGCCCGAGAAGCAGCAGCAGGTGCTTGGCTGTTGTCGAAACCAGGGTGGTTAAACCGGTTCAAAATCGAACCGAATTCGCGTGGGCTTCCGTTTAAAAGGAACGTTTCCGGGGAAATGCTGTTAAAGAGGGAATCCCACACACACACACACACACACACACAAAAACACACAGTACAGCGTAGTAACGGCACTTTAAGGGATTCGAAAATGCCGCCATTTGGCTTCCCTGCCGACGCCATCTAGCTATTGGCTTCAATAAGTGGCGCCAACTATATGACACATGAGTTTATTTAGACACAAACCATGCAGCTTCCTCTACATGTCAAAGAGTCAGCTGCTGCCATCTGCTGCTTGGGAGATGTACTAGAATTTGTAGTTCTTAAATTTTCCATTCTGGCGTACGTTTAAATAATAATAATAATAAATATAATAATGAAAAAGACAAATTGTGGAAAAAAATTGTGTCTGGAATCAGAATAACATTTATATTAGGCGTTAATTTTCCAAGTTACTAAATCGAAAAACCGTTCCTGCATCTGATGTACGTTACTGATGGCTTTACGTTACCAAATACCGTGGTAATAAAAGTTAAAAAATCGACTATTAGCCGAGATTGGGCCACTTTTCTGGGATATTTCTTTTAGATAGTAGATAGATAGTATCTTAGAGAGACTTTTATAAATAATAATCTTTCATTTGGAGATAAGAGTAAAGAAAAATATTTCAAATCTAATCCAATTGTATTTCAATCAGGTAAATTGGTTAACTTTCAATATATTTAGACAATAGTATCGGGACAATACGATAAGGAAATCAGTTTTCATTGACTTTTAATGTTTTTTGGCATGGTAGACCGTTTTTATTTTCATTTCAACACTATTATTTTTCGTGTTGATTCACAGACAATACAACAAACAAATCACACATCAAAATGTGTCTTCATTCCTCGATCTGATCGATCCATCAAATATTTAGTACCTAGTATGTATCTATATAGCAAAATGCTTAGCAAGACGCAAAAAAAAAAAAAGAGGTCTTAGAATTATGCTGTTGGGGAGGGTCGGATGTTCCACTAGGACTAGGAGTAGTTGTGCAGGAGGTATTCATAGGAGTACTCGAAGACGAGAAGGAGAATGGCACCGCCGGGTCCCAGGCGCATGATCTTTGGCACGAGACCCTTGTAGAGGGCTCGGAAGCCCTCCTCCCGGTAGACGGTGGCCATGGAGCTGAGGGTGCCGCGGTATTTGATCTGACCGGGCACTGGCTGTGGTCCCTGGATGCGCGACTTGGCCACGTCGAAGGGGATGTTCACGAAGCAGGCCAGCGTGCCGGCCGTGAAGCCTATGGCCACCTTGCGCAGGAACTCCAGAGTCTTGTCGTCGTTCTCGGGCACCACGTTCTTAACGCTGTGGTAGAACCCGAAGTAAACCATGTTGAACACTCCGTTGCGGCCCATAGTCGCGGTCACGCCCTTGTTAAGGCCATTCAGCCCGAGACCGTCGCGCTGAACAATCCCACGCGCCACCTGGAACGTGCTGAGCATCTTCTTCTGGCGATCAGCCTGCTGGGCAACCTTCACCACCTCGAACGGGTTCACGGCGATGGCCTCGAGGGTGCCCGCGGTCAAGCCCGCCAGCGAGTAGGTGAGCGGAGTGGGTGTCGGAGATCCGAACTGGAACAACGGCTTCGTCTGCTCGAACACTAGAAACTTGATGGCGCGCTTCGGGGTCTCCGCCAGGATCGGTGGCATGATGCCCTTCCAGTACGAGCTGATTCCCTCCTGTCGATACATCTTTGAGAAGCAGTCGAAGACGCCATTGTAGTGTACCTGAAAGAATGATGATAAGAGATGGTTAGGCTGCTGTCGCTCTTTCTCTTAATAGATATAGAAATATATGGTATGGTGCAAACATTTTTCGATATTCTCTGCTGATCTGTTGATATATACTCTCAGCTCTTTGCCCACGGCACGCAAGGCTGCCACAGACTGGACAACTTTACGAAAACCGAGTGCATTGTCCCACATTTCTTCTGTGCTTGTTTCCCCCTTCTGTGTGACACTTTGAGTTTTTTCTTTTGCATTTGCTTGCATCCATAAATTTATTTAATCTTCTTCTACTACGAATTTATGTACATATGTATGTACGTACATATATGATGCAGGGGAAAATAAAATTCCGTCTCGAAATAAAGATATTGCTTTGTTTTGCCGGGAAGACTAGAGCAAAGCTTTTCCACACTCGATCCTCACTGCAGTCGGGATTCTGCATATCCCTTATAGCCCCTATATCTATCCTTGCTACAAAATCTTCTACACAACCAAAGAATTATCAGCTTAATGGTTTTTACGAGGTAACCCAAAGATGTAGAAAACATTCTCATAATAACTCCGATTAGATAAGCAGTGTGGGTTTGCTAGCAATTCAACATAAAACATTTCCATCCCCAAACTTTGAGTCTGTTATCATTGGTTCCAAGGAACACGCGTCCAGTGCTGAACATACGAGACTACGCCTACAGCCCTGCCGGAATCGAAAGTTTTTAGTTTTCCATTTCGATTGTTGGGGCCCTGTGCTCAGTCAGAGGGCCGGACTCGGCGTGTCTGGCATGGGCGTGGGGTCGGGTCTGACGCGGCTGATAAGACGCGCGACACGACTGTCGGCTGTGGTCGTTCCGTTCTGTTCGGAGCAGTTCTTGGGGCTGATAAATATGGATTGCCCATCGAGGGAATGTCAACCCGGAAAGAGAGAGAAACAGAGCGAGAGAGAGAGAGAGAGAGAGAGCAAGAGAGCATAACTATTTGTGGATAATTTTGGAAAGTCTAGACTTGTCTGGCGAGTGGTTCGTGGTGGGTGGGTCGTGACCTTGCTGTGCCCTTTTCCAAACGCCAGCTGTGAAAACAGCTGGCACTGGCGGATACCAGTACCAAAGTACTTACCTCAGTGACGGCAGTGACGGCACTGACGGCCGGTGTTGCTTGGATCTGTATGCGCGTCTTGACCACGTCCAGTGGCTGCATGATGCAGACCTCCAGGAAGCCGGCCGATCCGCCGGCCAGCACCTGGAAGGCGGCACGCTTCGCTGCCGATATATCATGTGTCTGCACGCCCTGAGAAGTCATCTTTTGCCTTCAGTTCTGCTCAGTTCTTTATCGATACGAACGAATTTTTCAAACTTCGAATTTCAAGTGGCTTGTGTTCAGTGGGTCAGTGCTCACTTTGTTATCCGATTGCAAGTGTCGGCGACAGGCAGTAGTACAAAAGCAGCACTCACAGCCAGAAGAACAATCGGGAAAAAAGTAAATAATATTAACTAAATGATACGTGGAACGCTCTGGGGCCGCCGCACGCTTCGAGAACGCAATTCGCACTGCGCGCGGCGCCGAAGCAGCTGCCGGACCCGAACCGTAGGTCGCGGCAGAGGCCGAGCCCCGTCCGAGCAGAGGAATTCGGTAAATCCAACAGGGGTTTGGTGGTTCAAGGGGTGGCGAGGTGTGCTGGAACGGGGTCGGGGCTAAGCTTTCGCCGGAGAACTGAGAACAGAGAACAAAGAACCGGTAGTGGCATGTGCTGGAAGTGCTCGCAGGGTGGGCTGTCGCTAATTGAATTTGCCGATTCGATCGTGCGAAAAGCTCTTCTCTTGCCTTAGATTCTGATTATGGTTCTCTCAGATCGCTGAAAAAGCTCCAAAGATCTATCTGAAAGATACACAGAGAGCAAGCTCTTTTTTGGGCAGTGGCTGGTGTGGGAGGGACTGGGCGCAGGGAACTGTCAATGGAAAATTTTGATGAGCCTGAGGGAGCTTCTGCAAATCTTAGAAAGCCCGTACAAGTGACTGACTATCTAGCTGTGTCTCTTATGATAAAGAGATTAGGAAATCGATGTACGAGTGGAATATACTAGAGAAATAACGAGGGGGAACGTTGTGAGTTGCTGCGGACACCGCATCTCTACAGTTATACCCGTAATAAGTCAAACGACAAAGAGTGCGTGCGAGAGAGACAGAAAATCAGTCTGAGCGTGACGTCGGGCGCTGCGTAGCCAGTGCAAATTGATTACGATCTGGTTCAGATTTTGCACTCTGTAAGAAGAAGATGACTTCTACGATTCTGCGTTTTTAGTTTTCTCGTGCCGTCGAAATTGTGGATGCCACAGATTTTTGCCCTTTGTGGGGGCGGAAGTGGGCGGGGCAAAGTTTTGAAATATTCTTGTAGCAGTGACATATCACAGAAGTCTGGATCCAAAACATCGTTGCTCTAGCTCTTATAGTCTTTGAGCACTAGGCGCTGAAGAGGACGGACAGACAGACGGACGGACGGACGGACGGACAGACAGACATGGCTCAATCGACTCGGCTATTGATGGTGATCAAGAATATATATACTTTATGGGGTCGGAAACGATTCCTTCTGGACGTTACACACATCCACTTTTACCACAAATCTAATATACCCCAATACTCATTTTGAGTATCGGGTATAAAAACACAATTCGGTTATCTGTAAAATAGCTGAAGCACGAACGAGCATGAACGACGTTTAACGAGTGAGTGGCTGCAGGTCCGAATTGTGTGAAAAGATAAGATAGAGGATGGATAGCAGCTAATTATAAAGGGATATATAGATAGCTAGATAGATAGATAGATACATAGATAGATAGATAGATAGATAGATCGATAGATAGATAAAAAGATTGATTGATTGATTGTCTAATATTATGTTAAATGAAGCGACAAACCAGACATTCAAAATGCCTTCTATCCATTCGCTTATGGCATTCATCCTTCTCTCCTCTTGAAAATATCATCTTTTGATTTGTACGAGTAATCGTGTGTCCGTCTTTCGTTATCAGATGTCACATGCCAAAGATCTCCTTAGAACCAAAGTGGTATCTCAAGAGCCGTCAAACATGCTTTACATTTCTTAAAGAAACGTTTCCATTTAGCCACTAGCTCCTTCTTCACCTCCGGATAAGAATCTCTACACCTGAGCACCGGACCAGACCAGACCAGCCCGGGCAATATTGCATCCATTAGATAGCTTATCTGTGCATCGCATTAACGATGTTCCTCACCCATGTAAATACCCGTAAGCTCAGAGACAAACAGATAGACAGAGAGAAAAAGAGAAAGGGAGAAAGGTAAAAACAATGAACAAACAAATCGTTTGACATTTTCCACATCTGTCAGAGCGCAAGTGTAGCCAGAGCGTGGTTTTATCTTTGGATGGAAGATGTATCTGCATCTGGTCATCCGCTCATCTGTTGATCTAGCTAGGGCTCTTGATTGGTTTATTGTTCATAGCTCACTGCAGGCCGGACATCAATCAGAGAGATCGGCCATGGAGCCACGAGATACTCGTCTCGTCGATTGAGGACAACTTTCATTTACATAAAATGCATTCTATACCAAATTGATAGAACAAATTGTTGGTGTCAAAAATGCTCCCACCCTTTCGGCCTTTCTGCCTTTCGGCAAGATGGAGAACCTTTCAGACTATTCCTATGATTTAGATGCCTTTCTTTTGGCTCCCCCAACTCTGCATCTGCATCTGCATCTGCATCTCTGTCCATCCATCAGGGTTTGTATGTGTGTGTGTGTGTTTTATGATTGTCCAAATATTTCTGGCTGTTAATTATAGGCACGAGTTGGCGTGACTGATAAATACATAGATATATACGTATAGATGAACAGATACGAGTAGATGTGGATGTGGATGAATGGATGTGTGGAATTTAAGATATTTACTTCAACTGCAGAACCGAACCTCAAATTAAGCCAAGCGTTTAGAGGCTCTCAACTGGGACTGCGACTGAGACTAGAACAGAGGTTGAGGCTGAGGCTGAGCCAAGAGAGTCTCCGAATCGAAAGTCTCCGACACTTGGGGAATTTAAAACGCATTAGAAACCATTAAAAGCGAATTAATCCAGGGAGCTCTCCGCACGGAGTGACCTGAGCTGAGCAGGAACTGCCCAATCCCTGGCCTAATAATCTTGTCAAGTCACGCCATCAATTGAGTCCAGCTGGGCGATCCTCAACGGCAGCTAGCTATCCAACAAGAATAAAACAATACAAGGCAAGGGCATGAATGGATCGAACTCTGAATGGATCGGACACCGATTGTGGCTGGGAAACTCATTTCGCTTGGGCAATTTCTCGTCTTTCTCTTGATCTCGACTGGAGATGCACAGAGCACAGAATCCCTGCCACGAAAATGAATTTTCTCATTCTGTAATTAGCCCGAGTTTTACAAGCGCTACATGTGGCATGCACCATGCAAGCGCCGATTGATCGATCAAAGCCCCGATACAGGCTAATAAATCATTTTTCCATTTTCCATTTCCCAGTGTACGTACATATATTAGTGAGTACCGTACCCATCTTCCCATTGGCCCATTGGCCCATAGGCCCATAGGCCCATGGGCAGTTCCAAAGTGAGAACTCACGATCGCCCGGGGCCGTCTGTCCGCCGCGGCGGTTCGTCTGTCTGTCAAAGGCTATTAACCCCATTTTTGGGTAGAACGTTCCACTTGTTCCACACTTGCGCGGCTCCCAGCTCGGGCCCTGAGAAACAAGTTGCCCCAAAGGCCAAGGCAGAAACCAGAGCGCAAAACGAAACCCAGAGAGGAGATAGGTTGAAGGTTGTTTAGAACCGCTGATCATCAAAGAATCCCCCAGAATTTCACTTCCAAAGGAGAGTGGGGGGAACCATCGCAGGCATCAGTTAAGAGTGTTTTGATTAATCTCAGTTTTGACAGCTGTCCAGGCGATGATTCGGAAGGAGATGGAGATGGAGATAGAGATTGAGCTGGCAGCTGTACGACTACTTACAGACAGAAGCCTCTAATCTATGCTAAGGGGATCCTACAAAAGCAACAGATCCTCTTAGAACCGTTCGAATTGGTGCAGATATTGAGGCACCTTCTACCCAGTTCGGAGTGGGTTGAGACTTGACCCACTGTGTTACCCACCTGGCAACTGGCTCATGACCCACTCCGAGCCCAGAACGAGTTGTGCGATTTTCGCCCAAAACGAAAGTAAGTTACGGCATAGTCCAACCGGAACTCAAAATGAACCCAAACCCCAATCCAACCGTAGCCCAGCCCAACGTGGACCGTATAAAGCCATGGGCTTACTGTCCCTCTTTGACCATTCACATGGAGGCGATTGCCACTTGGACACTGGCCCTGCTGCGGCTAATGCAGCTGATCCACTGGAGCACTGCCTTGGGACCCTACGCCCTAGGGGCGGAGCAGCGCCCGCTCTGGATACTCGAGGATGGGCTGGCGAAGAGGCAACGAGAAGAGCGCGCGGAGGCGGACTATGCGACCACCACCAGAAAGCCCGTAGGATGGCGGCGACATACTCAGGAGCCGGGCTCCATTACCTTCCTGGTGCGCCACGAGGAGCGTCCCGCTGCGACTCGTGCTGTTGCTGCCTCGCTGCCCCAGCGACGGTTCATGATGCCGCAGCGCCTGCAGCTGCCGCACCAGTATGTACAGCAGCGCAGAGCGAGTCCGAGCAGGACCCGAAGCCTCCGCAGGCTGAGCCATCAGCGCCGGCACCTACCCGTCTTCGACAACGGGCCGGGGGACAATGCCCTGGCCGGGGCAGAGCATCCCATCTTCATTTACAATGGGACCAGGGGCGAGATGATCCTGAACACTATGCTGAGTGGCCAGCGCTATCCAATGCAGGAGCCGGTTCCCGGCCAGGTGCTCTACCCCCCCTCGACGCCCATGTTTCGGCCCAAGCCAATCGTAGAGCGGTTCCGGATGCCCGGCCAGCGCCAGCTGCTTAACCTCACCCTCATTCCTTTCTACGCACACGAGGCCATCACCACCTCCAGTAGCACCAGCAGCACAACCACGGAGCTGCCACCGACCACGCCATTGCCCACGTCCTATGAGACGCAGCTGCCGCGAAGCCAAAAGAAACGGAAGCGGAAAAAGGCAAAGCAGTACAACGCCTTCCACTCGCCCCAGGAGGTAGTCCAATGGCAGTCGGTGCTCCGGCGATCCACTGGAGACAACCACCGCCACTACTCAGGCTCCGATGCAGAGCAGCAGCTGGAAGAGGAGGAAGAGCCCCAGGAGGAGGAAACACAGGTGCAGAACTGGCTGACAGAGGATGATCCGCCCGAGGCTGTGGAAGAGGTCGAGCAGCAGGAAATATCCACCTCAACCAGCGTCAGTCCCTTCCAGATCGTGTATTTCGATGAGAGCCTGGAGCGACCCGAATCTGACGCGCTGGACAGCACCACTATCTCCCCCCCGCAGCGACTGAGCTCCCGATATGCCCTGAAGCGGGAATACTATGCCTTTCCAGTCTACACGCTGGGCAAGCTCCTCCAGCCGCAGCACCAGTCCCAGTCCCAGCTTCAGATTGAGTCCCAGGTGGAGGAGAAGCAGGAGAAGATCGAACGATCAGCGAGGAGCTCCTCTGAGCAGGCACCCAGCACTTGGTTCATCCTGAACTCGCGGTAAGTCTTCAAAGGGTCTGGGGCCAACGCACTCCCCAACGATCTCAATCTGCTCTTTGATCTTCAGGTACAAGGGACCTCATCACCGATGGCCGGGAATGGGAACGGACAACCATACCAAGTACTACACATCCAAGTACATAGAGAGTGCATTCAGACCACGAAGATAGTGTATAGTGCTTTAAATGTAGCAAATAAAGACTGTACAAAATCACGTGGAAGTGATATACTCGTAGAGGAGTGGAAGGAGTCCGACTTAGATCAAAGATGTCATTGTGTGGACTCCCTGAAACTCATGAGAATTATGACAATGATTCAGATGATCATTAACGCCTCTCCAAAATACACATTTTAGACCAAAGAAAGATCTCCCCTTGAGACAGTTTAGATGGTAATAGTACCCTAAAGTAGAACAGTCATACAAACCATAAAGAGCAGCCATAAATTCCTGGGGGACACAAAGAGTGGTACGATCTTGCTTTGGAAAGTGATCGTAAACCGGGGATCGGGGAATGGACTCTAAAGAAAGGGCGCCGAAGAATGGAACATCTCTATTGGGTGACCCATGAATGACATACACACCCAGTTGCATAACCATAGCCCCATCGGGCTGTGCGAAAGAATGCCCAATGCAGGGCAGAGGCCTCGTCGGGCAGGCGTATGACCCAAATTCCTGAACTCCGAATCAGAATCAGAAAGAAAAACAAATTTCAATGTGTTAAAAAGCAAGACGGAAAACAACAGCAGCAGGGGGAAACTTTTCGGGTGTGGTGGGAGGGGCAGCCCGGGGAAAAGTCATCAACAAATTTTTATGGCCAATCGAATGGTGTGCGGTGCGGTGCGGCCCTTTCAAGCGATCCCCATCGAAGACCCTTCGAGCCGTGCCCCCTTCCCTTTCCCCGCTCGCTGCTGGCTGCAAAGGTATCTCTTGTACCTCCCGTACCTCTAGGCCGACCAGGCATCGGATCCATCATTCATTCAATCATTTTGTCAATGATGTGGCTCTCCATGCTGGACTGGACGCACGTTCATTATTATTATTGATTTCCCAGCTTAGTTTTCGCTCTGCCCAACACGGAGACTCTTCAGGGCTGCAATTAATTTTCTCGTTGTTCTACGAGCTGTGCCTCCAACTCCAGGCAGAAACCCGCTTGGCCTGGTGTCGGCCCTTTATGTTCTAGCCAGCCCCACATTGCTGTGGGGCAGTCAAAGACGCTGCTGAGCCTACACCCATCCCCATCCTCACTCCAATCCCATATGTCGGCTGATCCGAGATGGTGGCTATAAAAGCTCGGGTCGCGACTCTTTCTGGCCTTAGAACAAAAGCAACAGCGAACGCGAGTGGTTCTCGAGCAGATACCCGATAACACAGAACGATTCACAGATTGTTTTTGTTGGTTTTTTTTTTTTATTACACTCCCAAAGGATACGGGACTCGTCCTAGTGAAGTGCATTGCAAATCTAAAATGTGGCAACAATATTTTGTGGTATGTGAAGGAAAAATAGGGGTAAAATCGAACCCCCTGCACATAGTGAAACGATGGGGAAACCCCCAAAGACAAAAGACAGACAAAAGAATCAGAAGAAATGGATTTCCCAGACTCATGCGATTCTTTATCTTGATTTACAGATCTTCGCCGTTTTGGGGTCTGGGAAGGGCGGCGCCAGTGCCTTCTGGTGGCCCAAGACCACAACGTGAGTCCTTAACACAAGTCTCTGGAGGTTCTGGAGGATAATACGAGTATATCCTAACCCTCATGTATACCCTTCTGCTCTCAGGGAAGCACCCAATGCACAGATGCTCCAGCAGATCCCGCTGACCTACTTCCGCACATACACGTACCAGCCGCTGGCGGGCGGACCCTTCAGCGTCCCCTTCTTTGGCTTCGGAGCCGCTCAGACGCCGCTCCTTTCGCCGAGTCCGCACTACGACCCCTATGCTGTGACCAGCTACGCGGCTGCCAGGCGGCACGACGTCGCCGCCAAGCCAGGCGTGACGCCGCCGGCCAGCAGCTCCACCACCACTAGCAGCACTACTAGCACCACTACACCCGCTCCCACGACGACCACTACCACCACTACGACGACAACGACCCCGGTACCGACTACGACTACCAGCAGCACAACCACGGCGCCTCCTCCCGCCAATAGCATCTCGGGAGGAGCCTCGTTCTCCTCGGGCGGGGCCTCTGGATCCTCATCTTCCCTGCTGCGCTATGGAGAGTATCCGACATACACCCGGCGGGTGAACAATCTGTACAACGCCCGACCCCAGTATCCGTACCCGGACTACTTCAACTACCAGCCGCAGGGAGGGTTGGCGGAGCCGGGGGTGGCAGTGGGACCGGGAGCGGGTGGCACTCGCATCCAGTTCGTGCCCTGCATGTGCCCCGTTAGCGTGCCCAGCCTGAGCAACTCCCTCACCTCTGCCGCTCCAGTAGCCGTTGGCAGTGCGTCCACATCCAACCCGGCGGCGCGTCACATCGACAGCCATGAGATGCAGGCTGACGCGGTTGTGGATGTGGATGTGGATGCAGAGGTGGAAGGAGACCCTGAGGGTAATGACGATGACGATGACGTGGAGGAGGATGAAGGTGTCACCAAAGCACTGCCCGACCCCCAGGAGACGACATCGAATAGCCCCGTTTAGTCAACGCCGCCTGCCCAGTCACGTCCACTCCATAGTATTAATAAGACTTTGACTGATTTGAGCACGGGTGGATATGTCAGTTCTAGCTATATCTTATGATTAAAATTCCCTAAACTCTTTTTTTTCTCACATTTATTCCCCGTGAAAATAAATTGCGAGCCTTAAAAACGGTAAAGTTTATATTTAATTTATTTTCATTTTTTATCAAAGCGATTGCACGGCCAAAACGATATGCAATATTCTGCAGTTTCAGCTAATATCATTGAGGCATATTTTAGTCAGTCAGTATGTACATACATATGTCAGCTTATGATTCTTAATGTCTGATGTATCTCTCTGTATTTTGGAATTGCTATCCGCTATGAGGGGAGGAGGGAATGGTATTCATCTTCACAACAAAACTAATAAAATAAGTATTACCATAAAAATTATGAAATTGTGGTGAAGTTTTGGAAAACACTTGTTACAATGACATATCACAGATGTCCGGATACAAAATGTCGTTGCTCTAGCTCTTATAGTATCTGAGCACTACAGACGGACGGACGGAGAGACAGACATGGCTCAATCGAATCGGCTATTCATGCTGATTAATATACGAAACGATTCCTTCTGGACGTTACACACATCCATTTTCACCACAAATCTAAAACACCCCACTACTCATTTTGAGTATCGGGTATAATTAAAACAAACGAGATTATCATCGCTGAGCTTATAGCATATTTAGTTATCGAAAATAAATTTAGTAGTATCCGTTTGTAAAAAAGTCCAGCTTGTCACACGACGGCATCTGCATTTTGCGAGCATACTCCAACAAGGTATCACGATAATGCATCTCCGCATTGCATGCATGCCGCATAGTATTCCAAAAATTGTTTACGACCATGATTTCCCACAGGTTTCCCAAAGGTTTATATTTCGTGAAGCAGTCCCGGTTCTGTGGTAAATAATATGGAACCTTTATGTTAGTGGTCGTGCACTTTAGTGGAAACTTCTCCGAGCTAATCAGGCTATAGCTGGGAATATAGAAGAGATAGACAATTATCCAGACAAAGATTATCAATACGATAAAGGCCCATTGAGGTTTGAACGACGAGAATCGGCCGCCACTACGTCCGGCGTCGAGTCCGCCATTTGATCCACCATTTGATCTGCCACTTCGCTTGCTATTGCCCCAGCGATTCCACCTGGTCTCGCCATAGCTGCAACGTAGTTTTTGATCGAAGTCTTTGCGCATGGTACTATCCATTAAGACATTTTTAGCCTTAAGAAGGTCTTGAAAGGTCTCAGTGGCTCTGGGGTCGAAATTTTTATCTGGATGTACTTTCTTGGCCATCTTTTTGAAGGACATTAATATTTGAGCTTCTGTGGCATTTTGAGGCACATCCAACATTTTATAGTAGTTATTGCCACACGAATGGATTCGACGCACTGCTTTCTTCTGATCGATCGTATTCATTTTGATTTAGAGAAATATATAAAAAAATTTGTTCAAAGCTTATTTTACTATGACAAAATATCGGAGCTGAATAAATTATGATATTATGATGTTGTTAGCTTGTGTTTCAGACTAAAAATATATTATATATCTGAACAAAGTTGTTGATTGATTTTATTAGGAGACTTATGCTAATTTGAAATTGAAAAATTGGAATTCCCAGACCTTATACAGAAGCTTAACGTGACTTACTTTGTCGAATACTCTCTGCATTCGACATAAGAGAGAGAGGATGATGTCCCAGTCTCGGGAGTGAACGAGGTTCAGGAAAATTTAGAAGAAAACGAGGGGAACGCTGTGAGTTGCTGCGGCGACCGCAACTCTACATTTATACCCGATACATAGTCAGTATGGCTACATTGAGCGTTAATTTATGCGTGCGGGAGAGACAGAAAACGTGTCTGAACGTGTCGTCGGGTGCCGCGTAAAAATGATCTGGTCTGATCCAGATACAGCAATCTCATAGATACGGTCATTCTCTATGATTGTGCGTCTTTAGTTTTCTCGATGCCCCAGAACTTCGTCCTTTGCGGGGGCGGAAAGGGGTGTGGAAACAAACTCGTCAAGGTCCGATATCACAGAAGTGTAGATCAAAAATTTGGTTGACTAGCTTTTGTAGTCTCTGAGATCTAGGAACTCATTTTTTGCAATAGCCAAAGCCGACCATGAAACCTGTGTGTTGGAGAGAGACAAAGCGAGAGAGAATGAAATTGTTTTCTTGATTCTGGCTTTGATATTTATACGATCTGGTTTAGATTTTGCATTCTAGAAGATATAGTCGTCTTCTACGATTCTGCGTTTTTAGTTTTCTTGTATCGTCGAAATTGTGGATGCCACAGATTTTCGCCATTTGTGGGGCGGAAGTGGGCGGGGCAATGTTTTGAAATTGATTTGTAACAGTGACATATCAGAAGTCCGGATATAAAAAGTCGTTGCTCTAGCTCTTATAGTCATTGAGAACTAGCGCTAATAGGGACGGACGAACGGAGTCGGAAACGCCTTCTGCTGGCCGTTACACACATCAATTTTTACCACAAATCGAATATAGCCCTATATTCATTTTGAGTATAGGGTATACCATACTTGATTTCATCCGACCACAGGAAACTATTTTCCCTTTACAAAGCCTTTACATTTAGTTAGCGATCAGAGCCGTAAATCCAACTCGCTTGAATGAAATTTTCACGATTAATACTTCAGTACGGTACTTCAGTAGGGTAAGTACCTCTCCCGACAACAGAACAGTACTCATTGTAACCGATTTCTGGTTAATTTCACTTTCATTTATTAAGTCGAATTCGTATGTTTCATCAAGTACATTTACACATTTATATGGTATCTTTATAAATATTCTAATACTTTTGCGCTTGCTGCACGACGATTTCAACTAATCCGAGAGTCCAGCCCAGCCCGTGTCTGGAGCTCCCCCATCACCATCACCGCTGCCGCTCCGCTAGCGTCCGCAGCATCCTTCCAGCATCGGTCCAATCAATACATCAATCAACAATTAAAATTACATTTACTTATCTAGAGATGAACTTGTGCACCGAGTCTTTGAAGTAGGGATTAACTTTCAAAAAATCGATTTCAGCATGGAAAAACCTTGATCTCACACCTTACACACTCATTACGCGGCGGCATTGACCACATTCACCGCATTCATGCGAAAATGCGTCAAAGTTGTCTAAACTTAGTTAATGCATAGGCTAGTACAAAAAAGGAGATATAAGTAAGTATACAATTAATCGAGGGAAAATATATAATCAGTCATTTAAGTTGTAGATATACAATACATATACATACATATAAATATAAATATACATACATATAGATGTACAATACCCACGCGTACATACGCGTGTCGCTATAATATTCATATTCACACACATACGATTAGATATGAACTGTTGCATTAACGCAATTACAATTAGAATTAAAATTACATTTATGTATGATCCGAATCGAACATTTCAAGAGTTTTACCCTAGATTTTTACCCAGGCTTTGTTTGCGCCTCAAACTAAGCCGGGAAAAAAAAATCATCTCTTACCCGCTATTATACAATATTGTATATCAATCATTCTAAGTGCTACGCTTTCGTGCTTTCGTTCAGAAAGAATCTGCATCTTCTCCTTTTCTTTTGCATCTCTTACTTCGTGTCGTACTCGCTTTGTTTCCTTCGCTAGCTATCGCTATCGCTTTCGCTCTTTGTGTTTGTTTTGTGTGCTGCAGTTTTTGTTGCTGTCCCTTACACTTTAAAGAAAATTGCATTAATATGGCCTATATATCTATATGAATACACATATAAGTACCTATCGTATAAACCTATCGGTGGAGCTGCTGCTGCTGCTGCCACCTTTTCTGCGCATCCAACTTATCGTGCCCATACCGCACATAAAATCTTTTCCTCTTCATTATCTTTCTTCCAAAAAAAAAATATATATACCTTTTCTTATAAGATATGATTTTTGTTTTCGCATGCGTATTTTTGTTATTTGTTTGCCCTTTTTCCTACTGTTCCTCGTCCTGTTTCTCATTCTCATCAGCATTTACTAGAACTTTTCCTCCAACCGATTGCATCGGTGGCCGTCTTCTAAAAAAAACTTCTCTATCTACTCCTTTCGAAAAAAAAAAATATTTACCCTCAAGCGAGTTTGTCGATTTTCGTTTAAACATAATGAGATTGCGCAAGGCTAAGCGAGCAGATCATTCACGCTGAACCATTCATCAGCCACACAGGTGCCGTGCCACGCGCTGAACACACGTGAAAATCATTTATAAAATTGGATCGGGCGAGAGTCGCTTTATCACAGGACCTGCGCCTTCGATAAATGCCAAGAGTTGCGGTGGCTAGTGCCAGGGGACAACGTGGCAACGGACACACAAACAGAATAAATACTAAAAAAAAATACTACTACCAAAAAAATAATAACTTAAAGAGCGTAGAGTAGAGTCATGCTTGAGGGGATGCATGGGGAACGAACGAACACACACTTAAAAACTTTAAAACTAAATGCTGGTAAATCTCAGATCTCTCGTAACTAATAACTAAAACTAAGGACATACAGATAGATAACTATAGCTATCCATGTAGCAGCGCCTCGCCGGAAAACGAAAAGACCAGCGGGAGTCGCAGAGCCAAACAGCAGCTGCAGGCAGGCCAGGGGGCAGTGTCCGATTTTGTATTTTTTGTTGTGTGATTAGCCCGCTCGCATCATCGTCCACAGCTCCGTGTCCAACTTCTTAGAACGCTCCCACTGCAACGCCAGCTCCGGGTCGGCTTCAGCCTCCGTTTTCCATTTTCCGTTATCGTTTCCAACTCAGACAAAAGTCTCCCGGATGACGGTGCTGCTGCTACCACGGCATAGATCTTAGAATTCGGTTGATTGTCAGACAAATGACGAGAAGCCGGGCAGTGGTGCCCTCGATCTGGCCATATTATTGACAATAATCTGGCCACCATTGAGGCTCATCACTGCACTGCCCTCCGGCTCGGAGTCTGTGTAGCTCGAGTAGTTGCGCACCGGCTTGGTCTTCTTCCAGGACTGCCGCAGCGAGTCATTCACATTCGCATAGTGATTGACGAACGAGTGCGGATCGCTCCTCACGCTCTCATTCTCGCTCTCAGAGTGCTGTGGAAGAGAGTAGTCATGTTATTATTGGTCCAACGAGTGCGAAAACCATCGCACAATTAGAGCCGACATACCTGGGATGCCTCCGAGCTGCTCACCTCGGATGGCTTTTCCGTAACACTGCTGTCGTCGGGATTCTCGTCGTAGCACTTCAGGCTCTCCTCATCGCTGTGGTACGCCACCGATGCGGGCGAGGGTCGTGGTGGACTCTTACCCAAATGCACACTCACAGGCTGGTGTCGGTTGGTAGACTTACGTCCGAGGGTTCCCAGGGTTCCGCTGCGCAAAGTTCCAACGCTGTTCAGGGTGCCGGTGCCGACTCCGTGACGCGAACGATACAGCTCTAAAGCCAGCTCCTGGCGTTCATCAATTGACATGGCCATGGACTCCTCCAGCGTCTTTTGCGCCTCTTCTGCAAGAAACCCACGGGCCACATTTGATTACTCTTAAGATCTCTTCCACAAGTTAACGCCTCCACTTACGCTTGTACTTGTAGCTCTTGCTCTTCACACAGAGCACAGCAATGACCATGACAATGATGACGATCGAGGTGGCCGCCAGAGAGACCATGAACCAGGTCTGCCTGTAGAAGGGTTTGTGCTGCAGATAGCCGTATTCCAGATGCAGCTTCGAGGGCGTCAGTATCGAGTCCTTCGAGTAAACAGGGAACGATATTCCATACTTATTGTAAGCAATTACCCGGAACAAATACGCCGTCGATGGCATCAGGATGTGGTAGCTGACGGTAAACTCCTTCATGGTTCCCTTTCTGGACTGCTCAATCTTAGTCCAGCGGGAGTCGTCTAAGCGAAGATAGGGAGTTCTATTAGCTGCGATTTGAGGGAGGGTTAAGACGTTAAGATGTTAAGGGTATTGCTTTTTGCTACGATTAGTTGGGTGTTGCAATGGGCTATTATTTGGGTATAACTGAAGGGAATATACAATATACTCGTACTCGTATACAGTGAAATATAATATCAAATGAGGTGGAAAGAATAAATCTAATTATGGGATCGGGTCGGGTTTGGTTAGTTAGTTACTTTATTAGTTCGGTTCTAATATCTACCGGATAGCAATACTTACAAATAAATGAGGGCTCTCCATTTTCTACGCAAGCATTTGATTTGGAGAATGATTTTTTTTTTTAATATATAGATAAAGTAATTTTTGGATTTAGAACCAAGCCACCAACGATTAATCGAATAGAAGGGTATAGAAATAGATAAAAAATATAGATACATCGCATAAGTAACAAATATACTCGTATGGAGCATGTACCATCCGCCATAGATATCACTGAACTCCAATAAGTACTCACCCCGCTTCTTGGCCTCGATGAGATAGCCCAAGATGGGGCCGCGTCCCGAGGGTCCATTGACCCAGTGGATCTCGACGCTAGACAGGGTCTTCGTGAGAGTGAGATCGCGTGGGGCCACCGGGGAGCCGTCCTGGGGGCCAGTGGTCACATTCGCGCTTACTGCCGGTCCATAGTCATTCGTCTGGGCGCGTACAGTGAAGGTATAGGTGACCTCCTCCTCAAGATTCTGCACACGGAGCGTGGTGTTGGACACCTTCTGCTTCACCTGCTTGCTGAACTCTATGCGAGATAAAGATGATAGATGAGGTTGAGATGAAAGGTTCAGAGCTGCGGTCGTGGATTGGACTTACTTTCATTCTCCTCGGTGGTCTCGTAGGTGACCAGATAGCCAACAATCTCGCCATTGAGGAGCTTGGGTGGGTCCCAGGTCACCTCCAGACTCTGCATTGTGATGTCCGAAAAGCGCAGATTGAGCGGGGCACTGGGCACGCCCGGCATCGTCTTGACCGTGACGGGAGCGGACCTCGGCCCGTCTCCGGCCGGATTGAAGGCCAGCAACTGGATGCGGTACTCGGTGAACTTGTCCAGGAAGACCAGGCTATGCGATGTGGCGGTGGCCGAGACCACCTCGATCTCCTCCTCGAATTTGCGGCCCGGCTCGAGGGCCTGCGGCGACCAAGTGACCAAATAGAATATCTTGTAGCCCAGAATCTCTCCATTCTGGCTGCTCTGCTTCGGTGGCTTCCACCGCAGACGCACCTCCGTGCTGGATATGGCCGTTGCATCCACACCTCGCGGCTCGCCAGTGGGCACCGCCTCGCCCACGTACACTGCGGTTGGTGGCGTGGCCGGGCCCGGGCCTTGCGAATTGAATGGCAGCACTACGATCTCGTAGTTGCGATCCTGCTGCAGATCGGATAGCACCACGCTGTTTTCATTAATGCCCATAACGTCGGTCTTTGGGGTCGACTGCAGTGCCGGGGCGAAGTCGGACAGCTGCTGGTACAGTATCCGGTATCCCCCGGTGGCCGCATCTCCGTTCCACATGCCCGTCTCCAACGCCCCCCACTGCACTCTTACCGAGGTGGTCGTGATGGGCACCACCTTGAGTCCGCCTACACCCACCGCAGGGGCGGCGGGCAGGGTGCGCACCACAATGCTCTCTCGGCTGAACGCCGATGGTCCCAGATCGTTGGTGGCCTGAATGCGGAACTGGTAGGTGGTGTACGGACGCAGACCAAGGGCCGTGTACGAGCTCAGGGTGGGATCGACGCGCTCGGGCAGCGGCTGCCAGCGGCCCTCGTTCTCCCGCATCTCCACCGTGTAGTATCGCAGCGGGGCAAACCCGTCGCGGCCCGGTGTCCAGTTGAAGGTGATCTGATGGGCCTGGATCTGGCTGCGCGACACCTGCGGCCCGGACGGTGCCTGCGGACGGTCCCTGTTGTTGGTGGTGTACACCAGCACCGAGGCCGTCTTCCCCCATCCGAGGCGTGTCTGGGCCGTGACGCTGAAGCTGTAGTAGCGCTCAGGCATCAGACCGGTGGCCCTGAACGTGCGGTCCGAGGGCGGGAACTCGCGGCTGTAGTTAAGATTGGCACTGCCGTTGAGAGTGTAGGTGACCTGGTAGGCCAGGATCTCGCCGTTGGGGTCCATGGGCACGTCCCAGATGATGCGTGCCATCGAAAAGGTCACATCCGGGAAGCTCACGTTGGACGGGGATCCGGGGGTGTCCTCGAACGTCTGCACTCTAATGGGAGGCGTGCTGAGGGCTCCGTTGCCGAGCCTCGTGTACGCCAGTACCTGGACGTGGTACACCACAAATTTCTGCAACTCTGTGAGGGTGGTGGTGAACGAACTGTTGTTGGGTATCGTCTTGTACAACACCTGCATGCCGCGCTCGGTGGCCGCGTAGTACACCTTGTACCCGTCGATCTGGCCATTGCGATGGTGGGGCGGTATTTCGCCCCAACGCACCACCACCGTCGTGGAGGAGGTGGCGTTGGCCTCCACATGCAGCGGGCCGTAGCTGGGTACGGCTTCCCTGGTGCGCTCCATGGCCAGGCCGCTGTCCAGGGAGCAGCCCACGTCATTACAGGCGTTCATGATCACCTCGTAGAGGGTCCACTCCTCGAGGCCTTCCAGCACATGCGAGTTGGCCGTGTGATCCTCGATCATCACAGAGCGTGGTGGGTGCTTGGAGGGCTTTCCCGTGCGCTCCATTTGGCGGTAGGTGACGTTGTAGCCGCGTGGATTGCCGAACCACTCCATCTGCTGCAGGGGTATCCAGCGTACGCGGAGCTGCAGAGCGCTCATCGCGCGGACGGTGACATTGAAGGGCGCATGCATCGGCTTGGCCTGGATCGTCTGAAAGTCCTTGGTGGGGTCCGAAGGCCGAGAGCTGCCCACCACATTGGTGGCGCTCAGCCGCAGGCGGTACTGGGTGAAGGGCATCAGGCCGGTCACGGTGAGGGTCTCCGCATCGGGATCGCTGATCTCGCAGATGGTAAACCAGGTCATGTTGCGCGCGGTCTGCGCCTCCACCTTCCACTTGGTGATGCTCGAATTGCCGTCAAAACCGGGCGTAAACTGCAGCACCACCGAGAACGCCTCGATGTTGGACAGGGCCAGGGTGGTGGGCGCATGCGGCAACACTGGCTCCACCCCCGACTGGATCGTGGCCGTTTTGGGCGGTCCGCTGCCCACCCGCGTCCAAGCGCAGACCTCGAACCAGTAGTGGGTCGTCGCCTGCAGTTGGTTCACCGTCAGCTCGTTGTCATCGGCAGTCAGGTTGAAGGACTTCATGGTCTCTGGGTGATCCTTGACCTGGTAGCGTACCGTATAGCCGGTGAGTACGCCGTTGGCGAAGCGCGGCGGTGCCCAGAGCACCTTGACGGACCGATCGGAGACGTCGTCAAAGTGCAGGGCCGTTATCTCATCGGGCACATCGTCCAGGGTCTCCACCGGCATCATTTGGCTGGCCACACCGTCGCCGGGATCGGTGAAGCAGAGGACGGTCACATTGAACTTGGCGAACTTGTCCAGCCCGCCGAGAACCGTCGACTGTTCGGCCAGGGGATCGATAAGGCTGGGCGGTACCGTCATCATGCGTCGCTCTATGTCGCGCTCCTCTCCATCGACGTGCCGTCGCTGCCACGCCTGGATCTTGTAGCCCTGGTTGATTCCGTTGATCTGCTGGGGGTTCGGTGGCTTCCACGTGATCTGTGCCGCCGTCGAGTTGATGGCCTTCACCTGGACGTTGGTGGGCGGTGCCTCGGGCACACCCTCCTTGGTCTTGATCTTGGCCCCTTCGGTGTAGACGCCCACGCCCATGTTGTTGAAGGCGGCAATCTGGACGATATAGTCCTTCCACGTGATCAGCTCTTGGATGAGGAAGTTACGCTGCGCCTCGTTGGTGATATTCTGGTAGGACCAGGGCACGTTGTTGTACCCAAAGAGCCGGTAGCGCAGAATGTAGCCCAGGATCTGTCCGTTTCGGTGCTCCTCCTGCGGCGGCTGCCACTGTGTGATAATCTCAGACATGGACCGTGCGGAGCCCACAAAGCCTACAGGCGGGCCCGACGGAGCTGTGGGATTGGAGTCAAAGGAAAACTATCAGTGGTTGAATTCTAATGTCGTTGGAGGAATGTGGAGGTGTTCAAGTGTCGTGTGTGCTCTGCGGGGAGAGCGCAGTCTGTACACGTCTGTACTTCGCCCTCCCAGTTCTCAGTGGGTGTGTGTGTTCTCTGGTGAGGACTCTGGATTCTAGTGTAGTCTAGGGTAGTGTAGTGTAGTGTGGAGGAGTGTGAGTGTGTACCATGTACCTCGGTAAAGCGGAAACTCTACGCGCGTTTGATCATCCCAAACGGGCGGCGATGGCGATATGCGATTTTGACGACAACGATAGCAATTAGAAGTACAATACATACAGGGTTTCAGCATTAGTTCTTTACACTAGTATACAAAACTACATCCGTACATATGTACACATATAATATAGTATGCTCTTATATGGCTGGATGATTGCAATAACAACATCAAATCAAAGGCGGTAAAGGTATTTCAAAGTTTATACTTACAAAACGATAAGCAATCGAATCATTAAATACAAAAACCAAAACAGAAGAAATCAGAAACGATTGCATTCGAAAATCGAGCAACACAGTCCGATATTATAATTTCTCGATATTTAAGTATCTCTCCGCTGCCCACTGAACCGAAACTTGTTCACCAGGAAAACGTATCTGTGATCATGGATCATGTATCAGGCATTTTGTAAGTGCTGATGAATGCCTATGACGACGCGTTTTGATTTGTCAGCTATCGATATAAGCCAACAGGAAAGGTATCGCACGCTCGTGATTTCTTGAAAATCATGATCCATGATTGCATGCATCATAATTACAAGGCATATATACATATGTGTTCACCAGAACTATCGTGAGAACTCCATTATTAAACAGAAATCATGTCGGGCACTGTCACTGAACATGAAACTACGTAGTAGAGTAGTAGAGATGGACTTCTGTAGTAGAATTTCCGTGAAATTGAGCAGGAAACATCGGAACACATCCCGTGTGAATGGCCGGTATTCGATAGGAGGAGATCTCCACATTTTGGGGGGAAAAAAAGTGCGGAAAAACTGGTCGGTATAAGTGATCAATTAATCGAAGAGGTGCAATAAGGCCTTCTAAGTACAGATTTTTAGGGAAAAGAAAAGTGGGATTGGACGATTGATCCATCATTATGTCTACTAGAACTTATCAAAACTATACGAGTACTACAAAAATTCTTCAGATATTAGTTTTTCTCTTATGACAGCGAGATCCGAGATGGACACAAATATCAGACTTTATAGAGTTTATATTTCGGATAGGAAATCAGGAAATTCAGCCACAAAAAATTAGGTTAAATCTCTTTTGCATACCAAATAATGATGATAATCAAAGAAAATATATACTGAGGATAAACTGAGGATGCCTCATGAAATCAAGATGATTTTTGAGCGTCTGAGGAAAAGCAACACACGCAGACACATAATACGATATACGACTTACAAAATAAACTGGAGAAGGAGCAAACAAAGTGATTTGGATGGACAAACGGGGTGGATGCCTTGATGGAGACATCTTCCGTACTCACCTTCCTGGGGCAGCTCAACGACGTTGCTGGGCTCCGAGGGGGAGCCCTCGCCGACGCGATTGATGGCACTGACGCGGAACTGGTAGACGGTGGCCGCCTTGAGGTTCTCCAGCAGTATCCAGCGCTGGTTGGCCGAGACGTTGCTCAGTTCGGTGATCCAATTGAGAAGGGGATCTGGAACTGGACCTACGAATTTTTCTGTGATGTTAATGTGTTGAAGAAAAACAACAGAGGGACAGTCGAAGGAGCGGTAGAAGATGGAGTGAGTGTGTCCATAGAAAGTGAGAAAAGGTTCAGTTGTGAGAGAAATAGTGGTGATTATGGGCGATTAGTGATGGGAAAGGAATGTTGAATGATGGATAAATGGATGGTGATTAGGGGGTGAGTTGTGGTAAAGAGGGTGGAGTTTACAGCGTGTTCCGTGTGTTGATGGTGTGTATTGATGATGTGTGATGTGTGTACGCGATGAAAACGAAGTGCAAAACAACAAATTACAATTGAAAATTAGTCAATCAACGTATGTACCAAAGGTTATCATCAATAGAGATAGAGAGAGAGAGAGAGAGAGAAAATATAATATATGTATCAAAATCTTGTATTTTGTTGTCTAAATGGAATATTTGTTTGTTATTGAAAATGCTGTGAAAAGTTCTCCCTTGCCCCTTCCTCGCGGAACGGATTAATGTTTATCTTTATCTTCATTTTACGTTGCTTCCTTCGTTTCAAATTCCACCTGCTTTCCCTTTTCGGGTATAAATCATAAATCCAATCCAATCCAATCCGATCCGATCCGGAGGAGGCCACCCGCAACCAATAACCAAAAACTACAGTACCAAAAAGGACCCCGAAAAGGAAAGTACAACAAAAAAAAAAACAAAACAAGCTCCAAGAGGGGAAACTTACCCAATTCGGAGACCTCACGTCGCTGGATAATAAATTTGGAGATTGGACTGTTGCCATCGAATCCGGGCGTCCAGGACACATTGATGCTGCGCTGCTGCGGCTCCGGCAGACGTTCCACCCTCACGTTGCTGGGCGGGAAGGGCAGCTCGATGACACTGAGCCGGGCCGCCCGTGTCTCGTTGCCGCCCGGCGATGTAACCACGCACGAATAGCTGCCCACGTCGCTGGCCCGCACCGCCTGGATCTCCAGCTGCCCGTCCGCCTGCACTCCGATCCGCTGCGAGTTGCTGATGGGCGCCATTTGGCCCTCTCGGTACCAGTCGATGTTGTACGGCACGCTCGGGTCGCTGGACACCTTGCACTGCAGTGTCGCGGTCAGGCCCAGGAGCACGATGGTGTCCACTGGCGGCTGTATGATTTGTGTCCGCACTGCGGGCAAAACCAGAGGAGACGGAAGAGAGAGAAAAATGGGTACGGGAAAACATTAACAACACGGCAATGCAGATTAAAAGTGCCGCGAGACGACGGCCAATGTTGCACCGACCGCAAGTGGCAATGACAAGTCGTGACAGCGCCCCTCCCCTTTTCATTACCAGCCCCTCTGGCAGACTGGCAGACAGACAGACAGACGTACTATGCCACCTCCCGATCCCCCCGCGTGGACTCGCGAAGATAGGAAGGGAATTAAGTTTTAAAGCCCCAAACAGACTGACACACAAGGCCCGCATGGTGGAAGCCTGGTCTCGGGCAGCTCCAGATAGCGGGGCATGCCCGGCCAGGGGCTGCGCATGCCACAGGTAAATAGCGGTAATGGAGTCCACAAGTTTAAACTGGATGTCCTTCCAGTGGGGAGCTATTGAGTTTCCCTTGGTGATTGCATCGTCCATCGGAACTCCCATTGAGGATTCGAACATTCTTCGCTTCATGCCAGTCTTTGTTTTCTTTTTCTTTATTTTGTTAGTGAAACGACTCCAACTACAGGGGGGACAAACATGCAGATTAACAACAAATAGAGCTTACATCGCGAGTCTTCGGATTGTGCTAGGCATTCTCTAGGTTGGCTGCCCGCTTCGAGGACTACTGGGTATCCCTTAGTCGGGGCCAATGATTCGTCGGGGCCTCATTCTTCTCTGGCTGGTTCCTTTCTGTTTGGCTTTCTCTTTTGATTTTATTTATTTTATGTATGTTTTTTTCACTTCCCTGTTTTTTTCTTTCTTTTCTCTCTCGCGTTCTTTTTTATTTATTTTTTTTGCTCATTTTTTAGCTCTTTTCAGTCACTTGGCCCGCATGCATCAAAAGTTCAACGTGCCCCGTGGCCCAGACATTGTTGGTGTTGCTTTTGGTGTTGTTGTGGGGTCTGCTAGTCCCCCCCACATCCACATGGGACGGGATGGGACGGGCCGGGACGGGATCAACCGAACTGGGCCTCGGCTGAGCTGAATGGCATTAGCACCATCACCAGCGAAAGGTCCTTGCAAATGGAAGTTTTATTCTGTGGCTCCCCCCCTCCCGCTTTTTTTTTTTTTGCATTTCTTTGCCGGACTTGGGCCACCACTGTATTTTATGCAACATCACACACTGCACAGCACACACTCGCTTTGAGTGGTGGAAAACTGGCATCATTTTGGTGGTGCTGGTGTGGTGTGGTGTGGTGTGGTGTGGTGGTGGTGGTGCTCCTCCTGGTTTTGGCTGAGCGACAGCGTGTTCTCCCAATTAGCTGCACTCCGATGTTTCCTTTTAGAGCTTAGCGCATGGCCAAAAATACGAGCTAGTATGTGTACCAATTGCATGCCCCAGACCCGCGAATCAACTTTAATTGCACAAACAACACAATGGAGGACCTCTGTGCCACACAGCAGCAGCAGCAGCAGCAGCAACGGCTGCGGCAGCATCAACAGCTTTTAAAGAATCATTTGAATCGGGCATTTGTGGTGGGGCAGTCAAAGCCCCGCCATGCCATCTATGGCTGGCCGAGAGCAGATTTTTGTATTATTTCAAAAGCAATTGATGCTGCCCAGGGGCATCAGGGTGTACTTCAAATGGAACAACGAGTACCAGTGCTGGGGCCACGGCGAGTGGCGTGGCTGTGGCCTGAATGACCATCGGTGATGCTGCCCTGCTGTTGCTGTTGCTGTTGCTGTGTCAGTCCCGATGACATAGTTCGTACATTATTATTATTGGACCATGCATTTTAGTTGATTTGATACGATGTCAGTCTGCTGCTGCAGCTCTCAAATGTCATTGGCAATCAGACAGACAGGATACAGCAGAGAGTGAGTGGCATAGAGATTTTGGGGCGGCACCCTACCACCTACCCACGACCAGAATCAGGTGGAAAGAACTTTTCGTTAAGTAAACCCAATTTGAATCTCTTTTGTGGTCACACGGCTGACAGCATTTCAGTTACAGTCGAAGGATGTGCGTTTGCCACATCAAAGCCCTGTCACCAAACAATTGATGGGCGTGGAGGGAGCTCTCGCCCGGTCGAAACCAGAGCCAGAGGTTGGGCTTATAGGGAATTTCTGGGGCTTTTGTTGTTTTTTTTTTGTTTTTGCTGTGCCACAAGCCGAACTCTTACGCATGGAATGCAATCACTTGAAAATGCCACAACAAAAAACAGAAAAACAACAACAACAAGTTTTAGCTCCGCACCAGCGTCGAGGGATCCGACTCGGGGATACCTAATGCTGTCCGCTTAAATGATAGATCACGCCTATGTATCGGTGTACAAAGCATTCTATACGATTCTGCAACTGTTGCTTTGTCACCATCTCTAGCACGGAAACAAGATACCCTTCCCTGCCACACGGCTACCGGGTACACAAAGGAAACCGGGGAGCGCACAAAAACAGTCGAAAGCCTTGTTAACTAAACGTTAAACACTCAACTCGGTCGGACGTAGACCAGACCAAAACAGACTCGCTTAAAACTAGCAGACAGAGTGGTGGAGCAGCCAGCAAGCAATTAAATTTCGGCGACTCAGTGGGGGAGGATGATACCCGGGGCTAGAGCTGGGCTCTGGGGCTATGGGGCTATGGGGCTGTGCGGCTATGGGGCTACGTGGCTATGTGGGGCTATGGGCTTCGCATAACTTACCTAACACGCTCAGTAAGGCCTCGCCCTTGACGCTGCCCGCCTCGTTGGCCCGCACACAGATGTAGAGGCCCGCGTCCGAGGGCCGGATATTCGAAATAAGTAAATCACCCGATTCGAGTATCTGAACGCGACTGGATATCTCAACCAGTTGGGTTTCTGTTGGGCGATAGGCGATGGGCGAGTCGTTGATTGTGCGTCGATTGTCCGTCGGAGGCGGCAGGCATGCGACAGTTGGAGGCCGAGATGTAGTTGTAGTGGTGGTAGTAGTAGTAGTAGGTTGGTAGTTAGCAGGTGCAGTAGCAGGTACAGGTACAGGTACAGATACGGGTTCCGCAGCAAGCAATTGTCAAGCGGTGACAACGGTTTCATTTGGTCATTTTTGTATGTTAGGATTATCAATTGGTTAGAGGGCGTACAAAAAGAACACAGAGACACGAAAGAGAACATGAAATTAGCATTAGTTGGTCCGTGGCTGGTCTGTCCGTCTGGTCCATGCTGCAGGCGACACGGGACAGATAGACTGGCACTGGCACTGGCACTGACAGTGGCACACTCACCATTGTAGATCCAGGTGACGTTGGGATTGGGCGAGCCAATGGCCCGGCATGAGATCGTTGCATCCTTCCCATCCAGGGCGGTCACGTTCTGGGGCGGCTGCTCAAATACGGGCGCTGAGGCTGTATAAAACGAAGGAGACAGATCACGATGGATTAGAGCAATGCCCAAATATTGGTGTGGTGTTCCACAAGGACTCGACACCGTTCGATGGAAGATCAAATCAAATCAATTATTGCGTGAGTAAAAGGGGTGTGTGTGTGTCACAAATATATATGTATATATCCTAGGTGTAAATCTATTTACGCTTATTATTTCTGTTCCTAAGTATAGATCTTACATTTACTTGTTCTAGCAACATTCATGCAATGCTCTTTTGTTAGCCATTATTGGCCCCGCCCCGCGGTCGTATCAATATTCTCTTTGGACATTTATCCAACCAATGATTACAGCGATTAACTGCTTCATTGGGGCAATCTTCCTTCCTTCTTGTTTTCGCCCTGCCACTGAGCTGACTTTTGCAATTATTATTACACGGAATTAAAGGCAGGGCAATTAATCATGATGCCTGATGCCTGATGCTTCTTTCTTTTTGTTCAGACAGCTCCACAGTTGCACAGCTCCACAGTTGCGCCGTGCACTCCTTTATTCTTCTCCATTTTTGCTGGCGGTTCGGATAATGTAAATTATTTATTGGATTTTGAGTGGCACACACATACTGCTCCTGCTCCTTCCCCTTGCCCATGTCCCTGCCCCTGCCCCTGCAGCTCTCCTTCTCCTGCTCCAGCTCGTGCCACTGGCGAATAATGGTGATGGCGATGATGACGTCGCAACGTCGCTTGCTTTTCATTCTTATGGCCAAATGCCACGCGCTGTTAAAGCCATATTAAGGCTATAGCCAGTGCTGTAGTGTACCCAATAGCTGCCTCGTTTCTCTTCCGACTCCATTGCCCGATATGTAATAATCTTCGCAATAATTTCCCATGATGAAGCAGTCCCGTTAACTACGCTTATGTAAATAAGTGCATAAAATTACAATAAAAGTTTTTCCTCGACTGTTGCTGTTTTCCTTCAACATTAAGATATTAAGTGCTCCACGTGTGCGTGTGTGTGTGTGTGTCTGCCTGTCCCTGTGTGTGTGTGTGTGTGCGAGAGTGGTACGCCACAAGGTATGCAACAATGTTGCTGCTGCAAGTGCAATTGTTGGAAATCATAAAGACATCAACTCTGCTTGAAATTAAGGACTGCACAGTGAATCACTGGGAAAAACGGATATTTACATATATGTATGTACATACATATATGGGTATATATTTGTGTGTGTGTGTATGTAAATGGGGGTACATCATGCGGGCAACTTTAACGGGGGGTGAGCACAATACATTGTATGATTAAACAGGCTCCGCGGGGAAGTAACGGACCTCCAAGTAGCTTTAAGCCAGAATCCCACAAAAGATGATGGATAGGGGGAGGGCTGACGGGGGGGCGCCAAGAGGGTGGCTGTTGAGGGTTTTATTAATATCCACTTAGAGGACCATTAAGCTAATAAAAGGATGGTGAAACCAGAAAGGAAAGGGAAGCTGAAGCTTTAGCAGCTCTCGTTGATTGTTGCATTCCGTGGCAAAGCACAGTGATCCATCTTTTCGAGTACGGGTCTCACTAGGACAGAGAGGTAGAGACTGACACCTTTAAGTGCAAAGCTACTCTGTGAGAGAGAGAGATATAGAGCTCCATAAAGGGGATAAAAAGGTATCAAAATAACAGATGTAACACACTAGCCTGCACATCCACTTGGGGGACACTGATCTATGGGCGTGACATGACAATCGTACAACATATAAAAAACCCATAAAAAAGAAACAACCAGTTTTTACTGTAACTCTAATTTTGGTACAAAAAACGAGTACAAATATCTATAAGCCAAAGCCCTGGCGTGACGTTGCAAAAACCAGAAGTGGGTTTTGACCAAACTCTGCGAATCGGGCTGGAACACTACGGATGTACAATTTTTTTGTACTAAAAGTACCTCAGCTCGTATGAAATATTGTGCGTTCATTTTCCAATTTGTTAAATGTAATTTTATTTGTTAATTTGTTCGTTTTAATCCACAAAAAAAGCTTATGCATCTGTAACTAATAAAAGTTACAAAGTATATACCTTTAGCCGAGCTTGGGGCATTTTTATTGTGGGTATATAAATGGAATGTGTGGCAAAAATAATCGTGAATAATCTTTGTTATTGGAAATAATGATATGCCGAACAAATGATTTGTTGTTGATTTTAATAGGTTTTCATATAGAAGTTTACGATGGAATCTATTTCAGTTTTGTGCTTACACATGTACGCAAATTCTTCGCCTGGTGAATATTATCATACTCCCAGCCAGCAGGCAAGACAAAGGCAAACAGGGACCCGGAAAAGTGTGGGAAATTTAAGAAAAATATTCCCAGATAACTCTTCTGACCAGCAACGTGTTACGTGTGCTTAAGCCTCCTCTACCTCGGCCTCCTCTCCGGCTGCTTCTTGGTCTCGGTTTCGGTCTTCCGCTGCTGCTGCTGCTGCTGCAACCCCGCCTTTGAGAACAGGGTTTTTATGGCTCACGCAAGGCGCATATTAAAGACACGAAGAGCGACCCTACAAGCGAGAGCTGAGAAACAATTTGTGGCACACTTGAGTCGGAGAAGGGGAAGCCTGCAAAGGGGACAGGGCAGGGCACTGCAGGGCGGAGTGTAGTGAAGTGAAGTGTACGGAATGGTTACACTTGCATCTATGCGTGTACTACTCGTATCTATGATATATCTGAGACCAGCCCCGACCAAACCGAACGAAATTGAACTGCAAACGAACTGATAATTGTGGCCGACTGATTTATTCGACGTTCGACGTTCGAGGTTGCGTACTCGGAATCGAATGGCCCAAGTCGGCCACATTTCGCATTGCCACTTCTCGCCATGCCTGCCGTGCCTGCCATCCCTGCCGTGGTCGTTACGTTTGAACGTAATTAATTTCAAGTTGACCCACTAAAGAGGTTGCGCGCCATCAACTTAAAGTCATAATAAAACGCTCAGTCAGCCAGGGCCTAGGACCCCAGGACCCCAGGACCCTAGACCCCGGACCCCAGAGGAGCTCTGGAATGGCATGCGATGGCAATAATTGCCATTACTTGGCCATTGAAGTGGGTCTGGTATGGTCAGCCCACCCCACCACCATCCTTGGGAGCTCCAACATTTGCATGGGAATCGCCATCGCCATCGCCGTCGCCATCGCCGTTTGCCTACGTCTTTTGTGCCCGCGCTAAAACTTAGCGGACTGCGGACCTCTCTCGCCCGCCGCCCGATTAAATGGTTTTTCGTTTCAGTTTTCCTTTTTTAGTTGTGGCTCGTTTTTCGCATTTTAATAAGCATAAAGGCAGGTCCTTTGAGAACGGTTTGCCGCTGGCAATTTTACACCAAGACCGAACGAGGGGAACGCTAAGAGACCAGTGAACAGGGCCCAAATAAACCTAATCCACCATATGGAATCATCAAGATTTTCATATGATTTGCTCTTTGAGTTCTAATCCATGTTTATGTTCCCGGGATATTCCTCAGCTAAAGGCAGTGGTCACATCCGACTCGAACAGGGGTTTTCATGTCGCTGCCAAATCAAGCTTAGGGCACCAGGGCTGCTCCAGGGCACCTCACTCCACTCCTAACAATCCGTCGCCGTTGCCGTCGCCGTTTGGGGGACCCACCAATGACCTCGGGGGTGCCAACTGTTGCTGGCGGTCGGGCAGGCAAGTGGCAGCGCAGCAAAAAGCGAATTCCCACAGTGAAATCCGCATTGAGCCGTCAGCCAACGGATGTCCGGCCACGCCTAACCCCCAAAAGTCACCTAATTACACACACACACACACACACAGACAGGGAGGGAGAGAGGGCGGTGAGGAGCCAGAGTGTGGAGGGCGCCTTAGAAATGGCAGGAAGCAGCGATTAAAATCACTTTTGCGTTTCGGGAAATTACGAAATTATGTTACTCGAGTTGAGGCAGGCGACTGCGACGACTGCCACGACGACGACGACGACGACGGGCGGGAAAGCTCAGGCAGCCGGAAAATGCACACCCAACAGCAACAGCAACAACAGAAACAGAAACAGAAACAGCAATGTGGAAAGCTCTGACTGTGGCAGGTGCAACTTTTTCGGGGAGTGCTAATGGGAGCGAGAGACGGAGCAGATGTAGAAGAGGGAGCGACGATTTGCGCCAACTTAACAAAAATGAAGTGAAAAACCTGGGTGGGGGCTCCAGCAGAGGCCAAAAAGAGAGAGAGACAGAGAGAGAGATAGAGCGATGAAAAACTTTGATAAACATTGTGTAGGGGAGGGGGTGGGAGGCAACGGGCTGCAATTAAAATGTAGCCAGTTTTGCCAGCACTTCTCACACCCCGCGTTCCTTGAACGCGGCTAGCTGGAAAATTTTTTCGCAACTCAACTTCTCCTTCAGCTGCCCCTCTATCTAAGTGAAAAGTGCTCCTGCACAAGGATTATCCTTCAAGTTGCCTTCCAAGCGGAAAATGGCAGCAAGGGGGCGGGCCAGGGGTATCAGCGCTACAAATGCTAAACACTTGTGACCATAGCGAAGGCTAAGGAGCCTGATCCGGAGCAGAAGCAGGAGCTGGAGTTGGAGCTGAGGCTGAAGCGAGAGCAAGTACTAGAGTAGCTGGAGTGAAATGAAGAAACGAACAATAAACGAATGAAATTGCAAATGAAATCAAGCGATTCCCAAGTGCGCACCTCGGGGTAGCTCCGCGAAGGGCCCTCCAGAAGCCAATTGCAAGAGATACGAGATGCGAGATGCACAAAAGCACAGAGAAAGGTGTTTATAATACGGATTTGATCTTGATATGGATAATCCCTCAGAGAAGACCAATTAGACCCAGCCAGGCCCGGAGCTCTGAAAGAAGAGACAAGTCCATAGCGGCAGCCACCCAACCCACTCGCCCACGGATTGCATGCAGCGGTAGAGGTAGCGGCAGCAGTCAGACAACGAAACAGAAGGAAACTCCTGCCAGCAATAAAACTTATCCCTTCGCAGGGAGATTTATAGGGTGGACTGAAGGCAGAGAATTAGAGACTTGGCTCAGCTAAATGATGGCGGATGGCGAATGGCTGGCTGCTGGTTGCTGGCTGCTGGCGGATGGCCGACTCTCATAAAGTGCGTTGGCGCAGACAAACAAATTGACTCGAATTATCCTAGGCAAATAAAATTAAATGAGCCGCAACGATTGGTTCCCATGCGGCAGAGGGGGGCAGGATGCTAAAAAGTTTTTCAATAAGCCGCCGCCGCCGCCGAGGAGGACGACGACGACAAAATCCTTAAACTAGTTTAACTCGAATACAATGCGGCGGGCGATACAGAAACGGAAGGGAGACAGACGATAAAGGATGGAGATACTGCAACATAAGAATAACTCAACAAAATATGCATAGAAATTTGAAATTTACATGAGTCCCAGGCTCCAGCTACAGCTCCGACAACTGGCCATCAAAATTTAACTGGAGCAAAAGCAGAGCAAAAGCAGAGCAGAGCAGAGCAGAAACTCTGCTTAAAGTCCCATCAAACAACCAGGGAGATAGAAACTTATTCTGGCCCCAGCAAAACAATATGTCTCCTCTTCTCGTAGATGAAAGCTGGAAGTTTCCTTCCTTCTCCTTCTCCTTCCCCCAGCTCTTGCTCTTCTCCTGCATCATAATTCAAGCCAAACGATTGCAGCACAAGGAGCAGCAGGAGCAGCAGGAGCAGGGCCCTCAGTTCTCGGCTCTCAGTTCTGCCTGTCCGTCCGTCTGTTTGTCCGTCTGTCAAATATTTAAAACGTCAGCGGAGTCCGTTGGTTAGGCTCATGAATGAATTAGTCTCTCAAGAGCTGGGGTCCCAAAAAAAAAAAAAGAAAAACACCCGCATATCTGACAACCCTACCATAAGGATGAAATGTCAGTACGACAGGACCCTGTTCTCCCTCTCCGAGTAGATGTGTGTGTGTTTGTGTGTGTCAGTCTTAATTTTCGCATTATGAAATTCATTAAAATGCAAAATTGTCCTACAGCCAGAGTGGCCTGTAGCTCCGGCTGTGTGGCTGTGTGGAGAGCTGCCTGGGTGTGGGTGGCAACCCTAAGGCAGCCATTTGTCAAGCACTTAACGGTACTTGGGTGTCACAACAAATGCGCAACAGACCACCACGGTGGCAGGTTAGCAGGCGGAGGAATGCAATGAAGTCGGCCAGCTTCCAAATGAGTTTACTCATTATTATCTGCTGTCACTTAATAGTAATTCATAATCCAAGTTTACCTTAGAACCTAAAATTACAGATATACAGTACGAGTATTTGTATATGACGTTTAGATGGGGTCCTTAGAGCAGCGGTGGGCAGGCCTTGACAGCAACAGAAACTCGATTCGCACAGCAATTGGCCAATCATGCACACGCAATGTACATATGTTGTTATTGCAGTTTTGCAGCATTCGCTCGAGCATCAATGTGGCACTTTGTGTGTGAGTCGGGACGTGCCCACCGCTGGTTTATGGCATTTTATTAGTTAAGATTGGTATGGTCTGGTATATATGTACGTACTTAACCGATTTTGCTTTACTTTTTCAGTGCACTGTAAATACGAGCAATGTATGTGTAAAGAAATTTCGATCTGTCCTTTGGATCTACTAAAAAGTTATGCTACTAAAACCAAAAACATTTTCTACACTTCAATCTGTGCGTTCGTAAACTTTTGGGATGAATGATATTAAAACTCTGCAAGCATGTTAAAAAATTGAGAGAGATGAGGAGGAGGGTGGAGGGTGGAGGGTGGAGGGAGGAGGGTGGTGGAAGGTTGAAGGAGGTTTCGGGTAATCAACTTGAATACAAAATTCGTTTTGCGTTTCGACAAATTTCGAGCGGCGGAAGGAGATAGAGAAAGAGTAGAGATGGAGTGGGGCACATGAAATTTCTTGCTCTGGCCCCGAGCAAAGTGCCCTTTGGAGCTAAGTAGTAGCTGCAGCTGACTGAAACAAAGCTTCATCAGCCGAAGGGCGCAAACAAATTAGGAATGGAAAATAGGGCAAAGATGGGAGAGATGGCACAAAATGGTACAGATGGGAGAATGGAGAACTAAAGATAATATTTTAGCTTAGACTTAGTACAACCCCAGGCAGACAGGCAGGAGGCAGGAGTCAGACAGGCAGCAGTCAGACAGGCAGCCGGCACCCGAAGAAAACTTACAACAAGCCAGGCTAATAAACAAACAAATTCCATCACAAAACAATCAAAATTCTACGAGGGATTCGGGGGTGCAGTGCAGTTCAGTGTGTACCAGTGTGTGTGTGTGTGTGTTTGTGTGTGTGTGTGCGTGTGGCATGCATGTGCTTTATGTAGGGGGTGCTTGATTGCTTGAGTGCGTGAGTGTGATTTTGAGTGCATGAGTGTGAGAGTGAGTGTGAGAGTGAGTGTGAGTGCGTGTTGCATTGCTTAATGCCCATACCAAAGCGAAACTGCTTGCGTCTACCCAGCTGATGGGAGTTGGTGGAGGAACCAGGTCCTGATCCCGCTACCGATCCCGATCCCGCGACCGATCCCGAACCACCATGCGAAGCTCTTACTCTTAGGATTCGTGGCTGGGCCAAGCGCTTGATGCGGCTGTTGGCTGCTTCTGCTATATGGATTCATGTTAATCAAAATGGTTAATGCAAAATGCAAAACGGTATTAAGGGCATAGCAATATATGTATGTATGTATGTATGCAGTATATAGAGAGGGGAGAGAGAGAGAGAGAGAGATACATATAGATATGGCATATAGATATGAAGATTGGAGGGGCGGGGGGCAGGCATCGTTGTTTAGTCAGTCGTTTCATTCGCTTGCTTTGGGTCTTGGATCTCCTCTGGACTTACTTTTCACGCGCAGCCAGGTGCTGGCAGAGTTCTCGCCGGCCTCGTTTCTGGCCAGGCACTGAAACATGGCCGCATCGTCCAGGATTAGTTTCTTAATTATCAGCGTGTTGTCCTCTCCCAGGGAGTATCTGAAACGGATTGAATGCACAGCGATTAGATCAGAGATGCAATCATCGCCCATGATGATTCTATATTCAGACACTCTGGTGCCTGGTTTACCCACCTTCCGCTTTGTACATTCGCCTCGACGGACTCTGCATTCCGGAACCACTCAACTTGGGGCGTCGGCTCTCCCACCACATCGCAGGGCAGCTGCACCTGGCCGCCAAATTCGCCAAAGGTTTCCGCTCGCATGGGCGTGAAGAAGACCGGGGGCTCGAGGATTTGGACGCGGGCCGAGGCGCTGACCGTTGGATAGCCGCCGCTGCGCAGACGTACCTGGCAGGTGTACTCGCCGGAGTGGGAGCTGTTGGCCTGCAGGAGGGCCAGGGTGCGGTTCCAGGGATCGTTGAGGGTGTGCCGGACCCCGGCCGTGTCCACGGCCAGACCGTCCTTCAGCCAAATCGTCTCCAGCTCGTGCAGGGGTCGGGCGTTGGCGATGCACTGCAGCTCGAGGACGCCGGTGCCGGTCTTCACCTTGACATCCTGCGGCCGAACAATAATCTCGGGCGCCACCTCGATGTAGGGGTCACCACTGACGTTGAGGTGCACGAACGCGCTGATCTCCTCCTTGCCCAGCTGCGTGTTGATCGCCCGCGCTCGGTAGCCCTTCCGGTCGTTCTCGTCCACGCTCAGGATAATCAGCTGGTTCGCCTGGGTGAAGGCGTACTTGATGTCGTAGTTGAGAGACCCGTCCGCCGACTGCCACAGAACCGATGGCGTGGGCACCGACTCAATGGCCGGCATGTCGAAGATGGCCGGATGTCCGCTCACGACAGTTAGCCGGCCCTCGGTGACGTTCTCAAAGATACCCATGTCTAGGAGGGAGAATCGATAGACAGAGACGATTAATGGCAAGGAATATTCTATGCAAAAGATACAATTCTATAATCTGTAATCTACAATCGATTACTTTACGCCTATCGATGACATAAACCGGATTGTATTATCGATAAAACCAATGGTCGATAATTATCGATAATTCTATAAATTTAGGTCGAGTGCTTGGTTGCCGGTTATTCGTTTCTCCATTTATCCACTGCCTGACTTCCCCGTATCCCCGGTCCATATAGAGCGTGGTTCAGCCACAGAAGCAGCCTGGGAACTCTGGAGTTTGTTCCTGTGGTGTCAATCGCTAATTGAATTGAAGGCAAGCCGGCCTGCGGGCACAGCAGTTTAACCTCGCTCATCGTCATTGCCTTGCGGATTCACGAGGCACACTCCACTCCAGACCATTCCATTCCATCCACAAGCCATCTCTGACCTGGTCCCGACCCCAACTGAGCTTTAAAGGTTATTAGTTCAGTTTAAGCGCACTCCTACAATTAATTAAGTGCTCAAGGCGTTGCTCGACTGCTCCGAGTCAAGCAGTCAAGTCAGTCAATGGGTCCGTGAGTCTGTCAGTGAGAGCCACTCCCAAGAAAACGCCCGGATGGGCGGCCATCATCACCATCGTCGTGCTCTCCCCCCAAAAAGAAGGTTACCAGAGCGAAAGGGGAGTGGCAACAGCAGCAGCAGCAGCAGTGGAGAGTTCTCGGAGGTTGGTCTCATGCCGAGAGCTCGATTTATTAGGTTCAAGTAGTGGGGTAATAAGCACCCGTCCACGCACACACACAGGCACACACGAGAGCTCAAGTGTCACTCACACTTACTTGTCTAATTGTTCGTTACTTGGCTTCCCCAGCATCCCCTATCCCCGTCACCCGTCACCCATCAGCCATCACCCATCCCCCATCCCCCGTAGATCTCTGTCCCCGTCGGTCTTGATGTAATTAAGTTCGCATTAAAGAAAAATTAGCAGCTAAACATTCATCAAGAGTGTGTGAAGAGGAGAGACTCCACCTAGAACCAGAACGTAGAAGACCTCCGACCTCTTCTTCGCTGGAAAATCGACACTTGGAAGGGTCGATTCATCCCGAAAGCCAATGAATCGAGCGATGCCATCGGGCTGGGGTACGGGTTGAGTATTCTCGGGGCAAAATTGGTAACTCAAGTCCCATTGTTATGGCTTGATTGCTTCCTCGTTCTTCTCGGAACGACTTAATCCCCGAAATACTCGTAATTTAATTTCCAGCTTTTTTTTTTCTTCTCTCATTTCGCACATTTGCATCTTTCGATTGAAGTGCATTTCCTTTGCTATTGGCTCTGCTGGTGCCTCCAATGATCGACTGGATGTAATGGAGGCATAATGCGCTTATGTTCCGTTCCGTTCCGGCCCGGCTCTTTATCTGCCCCAACAGAATGGACCTATAGGCAAAGCACACTCCCTATACTCCCTACACTCCCTTCAAAATCCTTGGCGCACTTACAGGCCACTACAACGTCGCTCTTCTCGCTGAATATGGATCCGGCGTCGTTCTTGGCAATGCACTGATAGCTTCCCGCATCCTCGCGCCGTGTGCTGTGGAACCGATAGAACTGGCTCGATGAAAAATCGCCCACGGGCTTGCCGTCCTTCAGCCAGCGATATGTGGGCTGTGGGTAGCCTGCAACAAGAGAAAGAAATTCACATCAATAAACATCATAGAAATTGTCAGAGACGTGAGGCATGGCAATGCCAATAGATTCGATAACAGACATACTCGTACAGCAAATAAAATCCAAAAGGAACTGGAATATTCTAATGGAGATTGGGTGTTCCATCAGATTAGTTTGAACTTTAAAGTGGGGTGTTATTTGATTAATCATTGATAAACTATCCGGTAACACCTTTCCCTTTTTGTTTCGTTTCGTTTTTTTTTTGTTGGGAAAACCTTTCCATTAGATCATTTTGTACCCTTTTAGCGCCATCCCTGGCCCCCACAACCAAAACACTATACAAAATCCATGGAAATCCCATTCTCGCAAACTTTCCCAGCGATAAAATAAAAAATTAAAAAAAAAAAAGAGTGAGAGATTCGGACACCCGGCCAACAGTTGTTGGAACTTCCGTCGCCTATCAGGGGACAGGTTCAGGATGCCGATGCCCGGAACACTGTCCCACTGTCCACACTCTCCGGGAATTGGGAGCGAGCGACATCCACTGGACGCTGGATGTCGGTGCAGCAGCAGCAGCAGCAGCAGCAGCAGTCAAGCATTTAAATTAAAGTTGATTTATACGGCTCTCCGGCCAGTCAGCCCGTCAGCTTGTCACCCCATCAGTCCGTCAGTCCGTCAGACCGTCTGTCCGTCAGCCCATCTCCCTTTGCGAAATGGAATTGCAATTGGAATGGCTAAACAAAAATTACATGTGAGTGGGCTCTGACCGAACTAAATGAAACCCTGAATAAAATATGAGATTCACCTAACTGGCCTGGCCGCCGGACGGGCTGGACGGTCGGGACGGCCAGGATGCAACAGGACGCTGCAGCGGGGGGGGGGGGGGGGGGGTCAAAGCGAGGTCAAAACGGGAGCAGACAGATTGGATCATCAAGCCAGGGGGAACCCTGACTCATGGCTGTGCTTTCGACGCGTCAGCAAGGCTTTAATCAGGCTCAGAAATTGGTCCGAAGTGAGTTCTGGGCCAGAGCGTCTCTGGCATGTAATATATCCCTTTTCAAACACCTCACAGTCGTGGGATATCAATAATTCGTTCAATCGATGATCGATTCATCAGCTAGAATCGTGAGGATGTAGATATTACCCTGCTATTCGGATACCCCTCGACACCAAACACCAAACACCTCTCAGATTGACTCCTTACCACTTACAGGGTATCTCTCCCCCAACATCATGATGGCCCAAACGTGGCCAATGGCAATGCAATTCTCTTCATTCAGTTTGCAGACGAAATCGAATTGAGCCCGAGTTAGGAGGCGAAACTAGAAACTACAGGCCGAGAATAAGAATCAAATGGAAGCAAACTGGAATCAACTTCACGAAGGGAAGAAGAGCCAGCCAGCAGGGTGGAAGGGCAGACGGACCCGGAGACGGACACGGAGAAGCAGCCAAAAGTTTCCCAAGTGTTGGCCCAGTAACAGCAGCAGCAGCAGCAGCAGCAAAGAAAAAGGAAAAGCCCCAAGGATAAAAAAAGACGAGCCAAGAGCAAAAGGAAGCTGCACAACAGAAGAAAAAAAGTTTCCTCGCAAGGAAAAAAGCGGACCAAAAGTCTATTTGAGCATTTTGGGCAATGACGCTGCTATAAAATTACAATTTGGGGAATTGTAAGGCAAATACAGACACAGCCAGAGACATATATGTATGTGCATACATACACATATACACATGAGAGTGCCGTTAGTCAACAGCAGCAGGCAAAGAGTAAGAGTGGAGGGGAAGAGTGGAGGGGAGAGGAGAAGCAGGGAAACAAACATTCTCCAGCGAAATGTGTCAGCGCTAAATCGAAGCGATAGTCCAATAAGCAGAGACGAAAAGGGACAGAGAGACAGAGAGAGAGAGAGAGAGGTACATATAGGCCTACCAGCATATCCCTTCTATTAGGGGAATACCCTGTAATTAGTTCTCTAGAATAGAGGACCTATTTTAGCAGTTCCGTATAGAGTGGGTGTAGGCCAGAGCACAATCGAATTTCCTCCACATATCTTTAAGTTGTCGGATCAATTACTTTGAAAGCCGATCTATAGATGTATTTGTGTACATTTTACTATAGATTGTATGAATAAATAAAATGAATATCTAAGGAAATGTCTACTAATTACGAAATCTATCAATTAGATACATCATATACTATATACTCGAAGATAAAATGCCCTGAAATATGTACGTATTAAAAATGCATAACAATTAGTTTTCTCCGAGAGTGGAAATTGTAAAAAGAGATTGTTTTCACTTACATTTTGACATTCAAATGAAAATATTCGATTTACAAGTAAATATTTTTCAATTATTTAAATACGAATATTTCATAATTATATCAGATATATTTCCAACAAATGTGTTCTTGCATATTTATTTGAAAGTATTTTGTATTTTAATTAAATATGGGCCGCATTAATCCGTTTATATTTCCATTTTAGCTATGCTTTCATTTAAAAGTCGAATACTTAATTTAAATATGGGGGTTTCTTTGTGTGGGGATTGTGTTCTTCTGCCAGTCACATGTATCTCAAAAATCGAATACAATATACCCCCTGGGAGTCACGATTACTGGGTACGAAGGCAAAGGGCAGACAGAGCAGAGGCAGCAGGTCCCTGACGGACTCAATGGCACCACACACACAGACACACAGACACACACACACACACACACACACACGTACGGGTATGTATGCAAACACATGTGTGTTTGTGTATGTGTAATGAGTTTTTAATAACTAAACTGACAAAAATCCTTTAAGCCGAAGCCATACAAAGTCACTGTCACTCCAAAGAAGCAGCAAACGGAGAGGAAAAACCCAAAGAAAAGAGAAGAAAAGAAAAACGAACAAAAACGAAGGCGAAGGGGAAGGGGAAGGGGAAAAAGAAACACCCACCGTCCCTTCAAGGAAAAAGGGAAGCACAGAGAAGAAATTTACATTCTCTTGGGAAGCGGCCAAAGTCAATCAGATAGTGTGTCAGGAGGGGGGTGGGTAGGGGGGGGTGCGCCCTCTTTTCTTTAAGCAAAATGAAACCCAAAATGGAATTGACAAAGAACAGAATTCCGAACTAAAGATTCCATTTCCTATTCCTGCTGGTTTCCCCCACCTTTCCCCGACATCTGACGCGCTGCCGCCCCCGCCTCTGGGTCTGCGGGCCCTAAAAGTTTAAGCAAATTTTGTTGATTCGCTTATCAATGTAGCCGAGGAATGTTATCAAGTGGCTCAATTCAATCATTCTGAAGATTTTATCCACTTTCCAGCCATCCACAGGACTGAAATTCGTTGCGCGTCGCCCCTTTTGCCGCCCAAAACCCCCTGTGAAGTATGCTATGAAATTGTTCATCTCGCAACAAGTCCTTGTTTTGTGGGCTGTGGTTTTTGTCAGCAGCCAAATGCCACTCACTCAATCAGCCATGAAGCCATGCATCCATGCAGTCAGCCAGTGAGACAGTCAATCGGTTAGTCAATCAATCAATCAGTCAGTGAAGCAAGCGCCAGCCCCGCCTGCATATAAATAAATTCAATAAACAGCCAAGGCATTGCTACAAATTGCATTTTGGATCTCGCTCTGGCTCTGAATTTGGATGTGGGATGTGGCCCTTTCGGTGGCACGCATAGAGGAAATTGTTTGAGTTGTGGCTAGAGCCACATAGCCACCGACTGCATCTAACCGCTCTGCGAAATCAATTGCATTTACACAGAAGCAGAGGCAGAGGCAGACGCAGAACAGAGCAAAGACGGCCGAGACAGAAGGGAAAACGAGAGCAGACACAGAAAAAAGGAACAGGAACAGGAACAGGAACCGACCCAGACCTGGCCCTCAACCTCTTTACCCTACGGACGGTACGGGACGCCATTCATAACTCTCGGGTCTATCAGTGTTTGTCGAGCACATATACCGTGGGCGGGAGGGGGGTGCCCACAAGTCCCTTTGCCAATCCGTCAGTCTATGCGCCGTCTCCGTCTCCGCAAAATCCCCCCAGCAACCTCCCACCCATTCACCAAGGCACACACACACACACACAGTGCGTATACGTTATATTTACAGTCATTTGAACTTCCACGGGCATTTTCTTTCAGCGAAACGAGAGGATGGAAGCGAGGTCTGAGGACTTTGACCTAGTATAGAGCTCATGGCTCACCAAGTCTGAAGCGAAAGTCTGACATAATCTGGTCATCCGGGTTCCCCGGCGGCCCCTTGGAGAGTGTTCCGTATTCGAAAGGAATCGAAGGAACATAGAGATAGAGATTGAGAGATAGAGAGGGGGAGTTTTTGCTGTGAATAATGCGATCTACTGTAATTAACTTTGTGATTCCGATGCTATTATGATTAAAAGAAGCTAATCCTTTCATTCCAGTGCTGTGTTGGAAATTCTTCCTCCTTCAGAAGCTTGATGGAATTTTCGTTGTTTTTCTTTTCTGGAGTTCTTGTTTTTGTAACCGTGAACATGTTATTTTTCATTGGTTTTTCTTGCTGTTTTTTTTTCGCTTTAAAAATCTTCAATTTGAATGTCGGCCTGTTCCCCCACCCCCGAACCGAACAGCAAGTACACTTAGAGAAAAATACCATACGAAATAGAAAAACACACATATTTAGATTGAATATTCGGTTTTTAAATACCAACATAGTGATCACTTTGATTGAAACATAAATGTATTTACAAGACTCTTTAAAACGGTATTAATAGTACACTAGTAGTATTTTAGTTGTGGTATATATTTAGTATATTGGTGTAAGTATTAAAATGTAAGTGTACATAACTATGCGATTTCCAGGGCTTATTTCTCTAGATGTACATCCTTCTATCGTAAATGTCTCTGAGAAATTGCTACTTTTGTTCCTTCTGTTGTTGTTGTTGTTGTCGTTGTGGCAGTCGTGGCACATGTTTACTAAATTATGCACAGTGCACTGCGCTGACACCTTTTGCAACTGGCCAACAAAACAACCAGCCAAACAAGCAAAACCAACA